GAACTCGATGCTGTTGGTACAAAGCCATTATTTTATGTTGTCTCACCCAGGCCCCTCTTGTATGTTTCGACAGAGTACACGCCTTTAGATTATGACAGTGTGTTTTCAAGAGATTTGTGAGTGAGCTGTTTTCAGTTCGTCAATAACACAGGACTTGTCTGTGTCGAAAAAGTGGTAAAAAATGACCAGCATGTCAGCGTGCTGTAAATACATGAATTTTTGTTTCCCTGGGGCTCGAGATAAATACAAAGCCCAAATAAGCTATCTTTTGGGGTAAACAAACTACGATTTTAGAAAAATAGTTTTCGTAACGTCCAGGTCATTTCACTTTATTTTGCAAAATTTCAAATCGAAATATTGAGAACTGAGTGAGCAGGATTTTTCTAACCGTGGGCAACTGTGGCTTAACGACCTATAATTCTTCTCCAAAGAGAATGTTGACTGATGAATTCCGTTTTTCTTAGAAAAGAAAATATTAAGACATGACATTTAAGGTGTTGAAATGGGACATGCTGTGAATAGATTTGTGCGTGGAGCTCAGACTTTTCATGTCATCTTGTGGATGTGGATCTAAAAATGCTGTTTTGAAATGAAGGGACAAATGACGCTGGGTTAAAAAAACGAATTTTATGCAGACTTTCAACATGACTATGTAGACTGCCAGTCTTTGGAGTTGTTAGAAATGCAAACAAAGACAGAATTAGGGACGTCTGAGGTCTAGTGATAAGGCTACCGTACTCATAATTGTGAGGTTGCAGGTAGAAGGGGTTTGAACCTCTACTCGGTCCGACATTTTGTCGTTTGGAAAGGCACCTTACACAGACTTTCCCACTTGTCTTGTTCCTATTGAAGATGGACTTTAAATTCAGATTTCCTCCTTTTAAGTAACCTTACGGTGTTGCAAGGCAGGGGAGCACAATACCTTTACATTTTCCCCTTTTTTTTTTAGAGTTGGGCTTTTGTTATAGCAGAACCGGGTCATTGAAAAAACTTGTAGTTTTAATGAAGGAACTTTTCCCTGCCCCGACTTTGTTGTAGTTATGTATGACGAGGAACTGCTTGTATACACCATGACTTTTAAATCAAACATTGTCTTTTCCTCCTTTCCTTCTTTCTTTGATGTAAAGAAAAACACAAAAGTGGCAGTGCTTGACGAAATGTATAAGTATTACTGTGGTTATTTATTTTGACTTAAGTCCTCCTTGGCAGCTGCTGCTTATCAGAACTCTGGCCCTTTTGTGCCAACCGGTAGTCTCAACGTACTCAACTCTGTAATGTTGTCTTTACATGTCACTCAAAATGTCTCGTTATTGGCAGCTTCCTATGTCTGCTGATCTCACTTTATCTTTCTGATTACTTCGGCAACTTCAACTCTGGTTTTTAACATGTTTATTGCTTACAATATTGGTGTTGATTGGCTCTGAGTCTGATGTTCCCAAATGAGTTTGGTGGAAAACGAGAAGGGATTTCTTTTGGGTGGGTTTTTTCTTTTTGAACTGAACTGGACAGACCAGATCAAAAGCAATGGTGATGTTTATAGCCAGATAATAATATTGTCTATTTTATTGTTTTAGTTTGGGGCAGATGACTTGGGTCTTGGTCTGTGCATGCAATGTATATTTAAAAGGATCAGTTATTTGGCTAGTGTGACAAGAAGTTATTTATTTTCTTGATGGTGTAGTGATGTCTATGCCTACATGCTTCAGCAATAGCTTCACAAGCAGAACTTTCTATCTCATGAATACTGTTTCTTGATCTCCACCCACCCTTCACAGTTTATTGTGGTTTGTTAATTGCTCATTTATTTATGTGAAAGCTGGATGATTGAATTTCTTCTTTTTTCAATCATGCTGAACTTATATAAATGATAGGCCTATGTAATTCAGCTACATATAAGAAAGTGAGAACGGATGGCTTTTAGAGTACCCCTTTTCAGCCTCTGTTTTGGTGACATGAAAGGTTATTTACTTTTATAGTGGTAAGAGCAAATTAGATGTTTACCTCAAAAGCTCAAGCTGTTCAAACAACCTTTTGGTTTATTTTTAATTTGGAGTATTCAGGCATTTTTTACTGGTGTTTTTTCAATTGCATCAAGAGATCTTATCATGGTATATTATTTGAAATGTAAATCATTTTATGAATTTTGTCGTTGAATTATATTATTTATTGCTAAATAATCTTATTGTTATTTGACTGGATGGATCTTTTCAGAAGGTTTTCGTAGTAGTAGGCATTCTGGACTCTCAGATGTCTTGACAGGTAAATGTACAAACATCTTGTGTGCCTTGTTCAATGCGGGCCTCAGAGCGGTGACAGCGGATACATATTGAGGGCAAAGGTCAAAGAGTCACCCGCGGCCCCCCTTTTTGTGACCTTGACAGAAATGTCTGCATGATGCTCTCACTCACTTGTGTCTGCTCTTTGAAAATAGCAGCTGCTTCAGCAACTCGGAAACAGTTTACGTTAGCAATAGTAGAGGAAGTGTTTACTGACACTTACTTTTTTAGCTTTTCCAAGCGCACAAGATTTTATCCGATAAACACTTTCTTTTTTTAAGAAATTCATGTGTGCCACAGTTTTTGTTCCCAAGTGAACGAAGTTTTCATGAAAAGTGTTTTATTAAAAGCTCCTTGTCTACCGGTTGACACTACCAGTTTTTTGTCTGATCCTCAAATCCAAACCGTGTGTCAAGCGATTTTCTTATTTGTATTTTAATTATGGATGGCACATGCTAGAGGAACACTCTGTGTGGACAAGGAGGAGGTGGGAAGGAAAGTTGTTCGTGTTACAGAACTGCTTAGTGAGCAGTTGTTGGTCAGGGATGGAAACTTTCCGTAAGTTTATGAATATCCGTAATTTTGATTTGCTCCGTCATTTTCCGTAAGTGGACCTGACGTCCTGGCTCCTTTCTTTTCTCATCAAGGACATCTATGGTAATAGTCGGGCCTTTGCCGTTTCACTCGGAGGACATGAGTTAGATTCTTGAGTGTGTAAGATTTACTGAGTATCTCCATCTGTATGCTGGAATGCTCCACGTACGGTATCTCACTAAGCCTGGATTGGTTCTGTCAGGCGGGGTAAAGAAGCCTTCCTCCTAAATGATCTAAGCTGTGCTGAAGGGTGTGTAAAGCATATCCCAGTACAATGAATTATTCATGGTTTTGTTGCATCAGCTGCTAGTTTTACGGAACAGATCCCTGGGAAGCCCTTTGCATTAGGTGGGTCCTACCTGATTTGACTTGTTTGTCACGTACTGTGTCAAAATGAGGCTTACAGTTTGGTGAATAACGTAATATTGATCCTTAAAATGATATTTTGTTCAGGTTTTGTTCATATCTTTTTGCCAGTTTATCATTAAAAGTATAACTCTACTGACTCTCCCGTTGCTAAATTCTTTAACTTGAAGGATTATGTCTTTAAGTCTTTTAATTTTTTATTCTGTCTGTTAAGTTTCATTTTGGGCTATTTTATGTCCGTGATCGTTCGTTACTCTGACTGTTTCTGAGCTTGATTCAGAGGTCAGCGACGTACAAGTGTTATAAATGTAACTATAGATTGAATTAAGAAACTACTGTTATTTTTAACTTTGTTGTTGTTTTTACCCATGACAATTAAAATTTGAAGTTTTGATCTTAATTCTTGATGATTTTACTTTTGTTTTCGAAATGGGTTTTGTTTTTCTTTAATAATCAGCATGATTTGCTCACCCAAGAGGTACCTCAGAGGCTCAATAGAATTCCTTATGCTCAACTTCTAGACTCTGTTTACAATCATTTTCTCTACTGGAGCTTAGAATTGATGAGTTTTGTCTTTTATTTGTGTGATAATTATAGAGCAATGTATTGACTCTCATCCAACCCACCATGACATTTTAATTTTCATTGTCTTGACTTTTTTGATTTTCTGTTTGGCGAGGTTGGTTTTTGGGGGTTGTGTTTTTTTTTTTTGGTTTGGTTTTTTTGGGGGGTGGGCGTTGGAGGAAGTGGATTGTCATTTTTTGGGGGAAGGGGGGGTAGGATAGGATTTTGACAAGGTTTTTTTTTTGTCCCCATAGAGGGCATGATCCGTTAAAATGTGTTGAGCCTTGATTAATTAGGGCATGGCTAGTGTTAATTTAGCAATTCTCTTGTGTACGAGCAAGGTCTTTGAACTTGTTTGTATTTATTGTTGTTATTGAGTTCAATTATTTTTTTTATGATAAGGAAATAATTGTTTATGACAGGCTGTCTCTTATTGTATTGGCCTTTTTAGGGCAGATTCGCATTGTCTTTTCAAATCTGTTATGTAAGTTTGATTTTTGTTGTTGATAATTTTTGCTTTTAAAGTCTCAAAGCTCTGTGTGTATATTTAAACAGGAGTTATTGTGTTTTGTTTTGTTTTGTTTGTTCTTCTTCATTGTATTCTATTTACTATTACCTTGTTATATTTTAGAGCTGTGTTTTTGTTTCAATTTAGACTACGTTATTTTCCTTTTGAAAAAGCTTTCACAGATGAAGTTTGGTGGAGCGTTGCAATGGAAGACCTTTACTTTGGTTTCTTTGTTAAAACTTGTTTGGCAAGTTTTCTTGGATGTCAAATTATTATAGCCATTGATTTTGTTTGCAATAGCCATTGGCAAAGCACATAATTAGGTTTTTATGGGGTTTTAAGTTTAAGAATAACACAAAAGTTGTTCTCTCAGATCCTCCCAATTTCCAACAACCCCTCCCCACCCCCAAATACTGAAGTTTACGTGCAGACCTGACAACTGTGTCTGGCTATTACTGTTTCAATGTCAGTTATCACTTTTCAAATCTAATCTAATTTGGAGGTGATTTTTTGGTTGTTATTTTTTTCTCATTAATTTTACAGAGCCATTTATAGGGACTGAAGTAGCGTAATGTCTACTCGATAAGATAAAGATCTAGCTATTCAGGTATTACGGTTCTGAGTATATTTAGCCCGAGTATCTTATTTCATGTATTTTCCTGACTCAGGTCATAATGTGAGGCCATAATGATTTATGTTAATAGGTTATTATATTAGTGAAGAATGGTAGGTCTGTTTGGTCTAGGCCTAATTCTAACTCAAGCCATTATTGTAACATGTTGACAGTAAGATATGTTAAGGTTCATATATAATGACGTATTTTTGTCTCAGCAGTTTGTTTTTTTTATCAATCAACACTGTTATGTTTTATCTCTGTTTTATTTTATTTGATGTGAACAAAGCACTGTGATGTGTGTGTTCTAATAAATTTTGTAGGTCTAATAATTGTATATCGTAGGCTTCCATTTCAAAAAGAGGTACGCACTGATTAAGACTAATTATTTTTTTGCAATCTGAAATCTTTTTCAACATCGAGATCGTAGTTTAGATAAGGTTTAACTTGGATTTTCTTCCCTCATGCAAAGACAGTAGCTTGTCTACAGGCTATTTAATTGGTCTAGACCTAGAAAGCGTAATTTTTTTCTGCTGAAAGAAAAAAACTATTTCATTCTTTTAAAAATTGTACTTAAATTATATATCTTTTCTTGCCTTTTTCATATCTAAGTTTTGAATTTCAACAAAATATTTCTCGAGCTGAAAAAATGGGTAGGGTGACTCTGGATTTAGAAATTGCAATTTAGAAATTTTTCAAAATTTTGGTGTATACATTTGAATTCGAACAACCGGCTGATGAGTTGTTTCAGATAGATGTTAACAATTGCAGACAGGTGATGATGATGAGGTAAAAGTTCTCACTATTGTTGGTTTGCATGAGACCATAATAAGATTGGTCTTTGACTCGTGCCTAGAATGTGTTGTTTCGACAAGGTTATTGTTCTAATGTAAAAATCATCTCCCAACCATGGACTGTCTCTGTGTCAGTCCTACTTGAGTGTTGCCATGTTGTTGTTGTTGCTTTTGTTGTTGTTATTGTCGAAGTCCGTGTAATATTGTTTTTGTAGTTGTTGTTATTATTGTTGTTGTTGTATTGTTAATGTTATATTCTCATTGTCAAATCCATCAGTGTTACAATTTTGTTGCTAATGTTGTTGTTGCTGCTATTGTTGTGGATCTTATTGTTTTTGTTATGCTGTTTTGTCTGCTATTATATTATTTAAACAAATAATATTATTGGTTTTGTTAATATTATGTTGACTTTGTTCGTCTTAACAAAGTGTTACATTATTGCGAATATGTTGGCATAGTTTTCTACTGCTATCTTTCTGAAAGTGTTATGCGAGCATTCTTTTGAATATTTCGTTTGATAAAAATATAATAATATCATAGAAATGTCCACTCTGCAGAATGGCACCTTTCCTTCGGAAACAAGGGAAGTAACGAATGTCGTTTGGTAGAAGTGGTATCGTCATGAGCTGTATACGTTCTTGTCTCCCTTGTTTTCATGTGTCCCTCCGTCCGTGACGTCGAGCTTTTATGTCGACTGTCTGTCGGTGGCTGTGTCGGGAGAGGGCGCTCTGGGACGGTCGTTCTGTGATACTCAAACTATTAAAATGTTTGTAACGCTGAAAAGATGACTCGTGGTTTTTTTGTTTTGTTTTGTTTGGTTGTTGTTGTTTTTTAATTTCGTACCCGCTGTCAGTTTTGTTCTTGTTTCTGTCTATCGGTCTGTCTGACTGTCTGTCTGTCTGTCTGTATTTTCCTTCTTTTTCTCCCCCTCTCCCTGTTTTTCTCCTTCTCTCTCTCTCTCTCTCTCTCTCTCTCTCTCTCTCTCTCTCTCTCTCTCTCTCTCTCTCTCTCGGTATGTGTTCTAGGGCGCTTGCAACTGCATAAGCTCAAATGAGCGAACACCAGGACCCCTTCACAACGAGAGCCCCCCTTCTCCCTCTCTCTCTCTCTCTCTCTCTCTCTCTCTCTCTCTCTCTCTCTCTCTCTCTCTCCATCTCTCTCTCACATACACACACACACACACACACACACACACACACACACACACACACCCACAGAGAGACACACACACATTGAAACACAGAATACCCCGCCTCGGTGATCTGGAGCGGACTGTGCACAGTGTGTGAGCACCATTGGGTAGACAGTCAATCGACGAGAACGTGAGGAAAAAAAATGCCCTTCCCCAACCCTACCACCCACTTACAACGAACAAAAAGTCAATATTAGTACAGGAATGATGGAATCTTTATTTTGTAATCGAAAGCGGCTTGGAAAACAAGATTGAAACTGAAAATGAGCTGCAGTAGACTGGAAATGATGGCCTGTCAACATGTGAAGAAAACTGGATTCTCTGATCACGTCACTGTCACTGCTCGGTGTCTGTCGACACGTGAATGATAGCTACGTGGTCACGTCACTACTCTGATGTCGTCACTACCAGTCGTCACGTGAGCCAAGCTGGCTACCTGGTAACGTTACTGTTCTTTTCCTGCCGTCACGTGAACAAAGCTAGACTTTCTGGTCACGTAACTGGTCAGTGCCAGTCGTCATGTGAATAAAACCAGGCTACCTGGTCATATCACTGTTCTGTGCAGGTCGTTACTTGAACAAAACTAGACTTTCTGGTCACGCCACGGCTCAGTGTATGTTGTCACATGAATAAAGCAGACTACTTGTTCACGTCACTGGTCAGTGTATGTCATCATGTGAATAAATCTAGGCTTCCTCTGCACTCAGACACAACACTGCTTCAAACGCCATGAGACACTGCTCAAACTATGGCCATTTTGGTTGTGGAAAGTCTACTTTTGAAGACGTAAAAAAATTTCCAATGTACAGTATTATAAAGTTACAATACTCTGATAAGAAATAGTATTATGCTTTGTAATACTCAAATGTACATGCCATGGGTACATCGGCTGGTGGCTAAGACAGAGATATGAATCGACACAAAAGAAAAGTTGTAGTAAAAAATAACGAAACAACGAAACCTCAAAAAAGCAAACGGCTTAACAAGCATTGTTCCCCCCACCCCTTGTGTCTCTGGGGAAAAAACAACAACAGTGAACCCCAGAAATCCTTGACCTTTGCGTCGTGTGACGTCACGGAGTCTACGCGCATCCCCAGTTCTGGCCGACCATCTCGGAGTTGGGGCGTTGGTCCTGCATCCATTGTATGACCTGTTTGGGCGTGACCATCCAGATGTCGTCATGAGTGGTCAGCATGTCACTGAGGAACCTGCCTAGACCGGTGTAGGCGTTGTGGTTTCTCATGAAGAGAGAGACGTGCATGAAGAGAGGCATGGGGATTTTCTTAGGGTAGAAGAAGTCCTCGAAGTTTCTCCTGTGTATGGACGGGATACGTACATGTTAGGTCGTGGTGAGTGAGGTTATATCGCCATTGAAAACATCGCGTAATTAAGTTATAAACATATGCACACACGGTCACAAGCACCTAACTTGTGCATTTGTACACGCAAACGAAAGCAAACTCAAACTGAACACACATAAATGCATATACAGACGCACACAGAAACACACACTTAAATTTGATAAGAATGAATGAATGGGTGATAATACCGATGATAATAATACTAAAAAAAAAGAAACTCCAGAAAAAAGCAGGAAAAAGGAGGAAAAAGGAAAGGGAAAGAGGAAAGACAAGGCTTAGGAGAAAGAGAAGGATGAGGAGAAGGAGAAAGATAAGGAGAAAGAAAGGGATAAGGAAAGGGAGAAGAAGAAGAAGAAGAAGAAGAAGAAGAAGAAGAAGAAGAAGAAGAAGAAGAAGAAGAAGAAGAAGAAGAAGAAACAAAATTTAAAAAAACCAGACAAAAATAGTTTGACTCACTTAAAGAAGTTGTACCACTGTTCCTCTGTGGCTGTGTTGGCGTTCTCACCGACCCAACAAGCGTCCACCATGCTACAGTCAAAGTCGTTGTCTCCCTTGATGCCATTGAGCGGGATCTCCCAGAAGCCAGGGTAAGGCTTGGTGGGGCATGGAGGGTTGATGCACTCGTTCCTGGGGGGCAGGAGGGGAGGAAGAGAGAAAGTGGGAGAAGTGGGAAAGAGAGACGATAGGGATGAGCAAGACAAAGGGAGGAAGAGAGAGAGAGG